CTACAATAGGATTTGATATATATATATATATATATATATATATATATATATACACATAATACTGTACTATACTATACTACACTATACTATAGTATATGTATATATGCTGTGCGATCTGTGTTGCGCATTCTATGTTGTGCAAACGACGTGGTGTAATCCGCATGGTGCAGTATGTGTGGTGCAACGCTTTCGTGCCATATTTACATAAAAACAGTATTCGTGGGGCTTTATAGGAGGTGCAATGAATACTTGTTCGCAATGAATTGTCAACTCCGCTGCTCGCGCAATCAGCCCACCCGCCACCCACAACTGGGTTTGCAAACCCAGCGCTGATTCGTGGGTACTGCAAAACGAAAAGGTTGCTCGGGTGGGCGCGGTATCATGGCGACGTCGACAACGGCAGGCACGATGATGATTGCACCGATGATGGTGACGACGAGAACGACGACGAAGGCAAGGCAAGTGACGGCGCCGAGATTGATCGCGCCGAAAATGATGATAATGTCTTCGCATCGGCGAGGAAGGTTTTGAAGGGATTTCGACATGCGCGCGCGGTCGACGCGCACGACTGAGTGGCCCATTCGACAGGCACGCCCACCCCCACCACCACGCGCGCGAAAGTGTTCGAATGATTTCGACATGCACGCGCGAGGGGCCCGTTTGGTCACACTTGATTAACATGTGGGAACAGAAGATGATGGTTTCCTTACAAATTCAAAAGGGCGCGCGCGGGGCTGCTCTTGTTTTGCGACGGCCTGTTTCGAAGCCATTGGTGATCTCATATGCTCGGGGCGCTCAATTTGGACATCCACACGAAACCCAAAAAGATTACGCAAGATCTCGACATGCGCGAGACGAAGCGCGCGTGCCTTTCGGTCCGTTCTTTCGCAGCGGATTCTTGGAAAATAATGGGTTTTTGATGCGCGAGCGCGCGCGCGTTATTTTCTTGTTGCGCACAATGGCGGGGGAGGAGAGGGTCGATGCCGACCCGGCTGGGATGGCATAAATTCACGTCAACATGAGCAATGGGGCATGATCAAATCTAAACTGCACATACCCAGGGCGAGCAAGTGAATTCAGGTCGCGCAACATATGCGGAGTTCTACGCGGCGCAATCTACGCGGCGCACTCAACTCTGACTTCCTCGCGCGCGATCACCGCCCCAGCTCGCGCAAGCACCCCGCCCGCCCACCCGCAACCTGGTTTTCAAAACCAACGCGGCGACGATTGCGACTGCTGCTCGGCGCTGGCCAGCACGTCGCCGCGGCCGCGCAACTAGCGCGCGCAGGCTCGCGCGCGGAGCGGCCGGCTGTTCCAGCGCGACCGACGCGGCCGCGGCGTCGCCGACCGCTGTGGAACCTCCAAGCGCGTCTCGCAGGCCGCGCCGACGCGCGAACGCATCTGCGCGAGTCGGCGGGCTGGGCGGGCATCGCGGGGACGTCGACACTGGGAGACGCGACGGTGATCGCAGCGACGCCGGCGGCGACGACGACAGCGACGACGGCGAGGCCAAGGACGGCGCCTATGCTGATCGCGCCGACGACGACGATGCCGCACCCGCGTCAGCGACGAAGGTTTTGGAGGGACTTCGACACGCGCGCGCGGCCGACGCGCGCGAGCGGCCCGCGTGGAAATATTCGACAAGCATCGCCCCCCCCCCCCCCCCAAGCACGCCGCGCGAAAGGACGCTCGAATGATCCCGACACGCGCGCGCAAGCGGCACGTTGGGCAGCATGGATAAAGAGTTTGAAAACCTATGGATTCCCCTATAAGTCGCCTGAGCGCGAACGCAAGCTTCTCTGAGGACTTCAATTGCGAAACAACGGGCTGGCACACGTGCGTTCGGGACACTGGAGGTCGAAATCCATTCGGAACCTACGTCGTTCGAATGATTTCGGCACGCGCGCGCGCGACGGCGCGCGCGCGTACTTCGCCCCGCGCGCCGCTAGGGGTACCAGCCACGGCACGCGCGCCAAGGGGTTCGCACGATGTCGGCGCGCACGCGCGACGGGGCACACCCGGCAGCAGCTGATGGAAATGCCGCAAACGTACGGCTTCCATTAAAGTCGCGCCAGCGCAAGCGCAGACTCCTTTTTCAAACAAATTTTCTCCTGGGTAAAAAAAACAATTATCCCGGCAAAGCAACCTAACAGCGATGTGTTTGAGCATATCTGGAAGCATTCCCCTTAAGATTCAGATGAGAATCCAGTTGTAGAATTCTGCTGTTCTCGCAGTCGTAGTAGCCTTCGCGATGACAGTCGCAGTGGCAACGGCAGTCGCAGTCACAGCCTCAGCCTCAGCCTGCCTCAGCCTCAGCCTCAGCCTCAGCCTCAGCCTCAGCCTCAGCCTGCCTCAGCCTCAGCCTCAGCCTGCTTCAGCCTCAGCATCAGTCTGCCTTCAGCCTCGGCCTCAGCCTCAGCCTGCCTCAGCCTCACCCTGCATCAGCTCAGCCTCAGCCTCAGCCTGCCTCAGCATCAGCCTGCCTCAGCCTCAGCCTCAGCCTCAGCCTGCCTCTGCCTCAGCCTGCTTCAGCCTCAGCCTCAGTCTGCCGTCGGCCTCGGCCTCAGCCTCAGCCTGCCTCAGCCTCAGCCTGCCTCAGCCTCAGCCTCAGCCTGCCTCAGCCAGCCTCAGCCTCAGCCTGCTCAGCCTCAGCCTCAGCCTGCTTCAGCCTCAGCCTCAGTCTGCCTCAGCCTCGGCCTTAGCCTCAGCCTGCCTCAGCCTGAGCCTGCCTCAGCCTTAGCCTCAGTCTGCCTTCAGCCTCAGTCTGCCTTCAGCCTCGGCCTCAGCCTCAGCCTGCATCAGCCTCGGCCTCAGCCTTAGCCTCAGCCTCAGCCTCAGCCTCAGCCTGCCTCAGCCTGCATCAGCCTCAGCCTCAGCCTCAGCCTGCCTCAGCATCAGCCTCAGCCTCAGCCTCAGCCTGCCTCAGCCTCAGCCTCAGCCTGCCTCAGCCTCAGCCTCAGCCTCAGCCTCAGCCTCAGCCTCAGCCTCAGCCTCAGCCTCAGCCTCAGCCTCAGCCTCAGCCTGCTTCAGCCTCAGCCTCAGCCTTCAGCCTCGCCTCAGCCTCAGCCTCAGCCTGCCTCAGCCTCAGCCTGCCTCAGCCTCAGCCTCAGCCTGCCTCAGCCTCAGCCTCAGCCTGCTTCAGCCTCAGCCTCAGTCTGCCTTCAGCCTCGGCCTCAGCCTCAGCCTGCCTCAGCCTCAGCCTGCATCAGCCTGAGCCTCAGCCTCAGCCTGCCTCAGCATCAGCCTGCCTCAGCATCAGCCTCAGCCTGCCTCAGCCTCAGCCTCAGCCTCAGCCTGCTTCAGCCTCAGCATCAGTTTGCCTTCAGCCTCGGCCTCAGCCTCCACCTGCCTCAGCCTCAGCTTGCATGAGCCTCAGCCTCAGCCTCAGCCTGCCTCAGCATCAGCCTGCCTCATTCTCAGCCTCAACCGGTTTAGCCTCAGCCTCAGCCTGCTTCAGCCTCAGCCTCAGTCTGCCTTCAGCCTCGGCTTAAGCCTCAGGTTGCCTCAGCCTCAGCCTGCATCAGCCTCAGCCTCAGCTTCAGCCTGCCTCAGCCTCGGCCTCAGCCTGCCTCAGCCTCAGCCTCAGCCTGCCTCAGCCTCAGCCTCAATCTGCCTTCAGCCTCGGCAGGCTGAGGCTGAGCCTGCATCAGCCTCAGCCTCAGCCTGCATCAGCCTCAGCCTCAGCCTCAGCCTGCCTCAGCCTCAGCCTCAGCCTCAGCCTGCCTCAGCCTCAGCCTCAGCCTGCTTCAGCCTCAGCCTCAGTCTGCCTTCAGCCTCGGCCTCAGCCTCAGCCTGCCTCAGCCTCAGCCTGCATCAGCCTCAGCCTCAGCCTCAGCCTGCCTCAGCATCAGCCTCAGCCTCAGCCTCAGCCTCAGCCTCAGCCT